AGAATGAATTACTGCTACTTTTCCTTAAACTTACTGTGTGCATACTTTATTTCTCATTCTTGTGAATTCATGAAGGCTAAAAGATACATTTGGGAAGGATGGAGGGGGTGAAGGGCGCACAGGTAATGGGGAAAAAAAATAAGAACTAAGATACATCATGTACAGGTACAAGCACCCAATGATAAATGTAAATGTATTGTTTACCTAAAATGTACCAATAAAAGAATTTAAGGGGGAAAAAAGATATATTTGTCAATGTCATTTCCCTGCTGAAAACTTCCAGTGGCTATTTGTGTCATTCAGAGAAAAAGCAAAAGTCTCCCAAGTCTCCAGAAATCCCCTTATTTGTCTAGTCTCATTTCTTTTCATTCTGTACATGCTCATTTTTGCTCCCAGAATTTTAGAATTCTTACTAATCCGTTGTACCAATACCTTTTCTAACCACTGCATCAGAACATACTTCCCAATTTCTATCCAACTACCCTCTCTCTTCCCAGCTTTCTCTTTATTATCATCTAGAATCCTATATACATGTGTAGATAATTATCTGAAATAGTATGTATATACACCCTATATGGAAATATGCTACTATGTGTATGTAATATATATATATTATAATTATATATAATGTATATGTACATGTTGAATAGTATTCACCAGTCTACTTACTTAGCTTCCCCAGCAATAACTCGTCAAACAAAACATATTAATTTCCCTGAAAAATTTTTGCCAAATTGTCCACATATTATTGGGAGTATAAATGTGTTATATTACATATATATCACATGTTTCTCCAACTCCATCCCAATAATTTTATTTTCTTGATTGCTGCAATCCTAGTGTCTACTTGTCTAAAACATTTCTATTCCTCAAACCTTAGCAAGAGGTATAATTTTCCCTCAGAAAGCAAATTTTCCTTTTTGTCTGCCCATTTGTAATCTGCTATGATTTTTAGAGTGCAAATAGTTTTTAAAACAGTGCTTTTCCCCTTGAGGTTAAAAAGATATTTTAGATCCAGAAATAGGAAGAGAATTTTCCAGTTGTGGTTTTGGTCTTTTATTATTCCAACAAATCCATATAAATGCAAATAATAGGAAATTAGGATGAATTCCCTGAAATGGCAATCTTTCCTCTTCCATTCACAAGGTGTCCCATCAACAGTACACTTTCCACAAGCTTATTAATGCAGTTTTGAAGTAGTAAATAATGCCTATCAGACAACCCAATTAGCTTCCTCACCAATAGTGCTGGGCAGATAAGAAATACCAATTTCCCTGACAAACTTCTACATTTTACTGGAAGTACTTCACACATTGCCTGTTAGGCCTTGTGGTGCTGCAGAGCCCAGCAGCAACTGCTAAGGAATGAATCCAGATGCTCTAAGAGAGAAGGCACATCTGGGAGTCAAGAAAAAGGAGAGTGGAGCTTCCACTAGTCAGATATGTCATTTATATGTCATATATATCCTTCAGGAAAAGAAAAATTTGCCTAAATATTTTAATACTAAACTTATTAAGATACCATGAGATTAGTGCAAGTTATCTTTGGCCTCTACAATTATAAGAGGTTTATTAGTATGGTGAACTGCTCCTTGGTCATTGAGATTGCTGCATTTTCGATGCATTTTCAATTTCTTCTCAAGAGCGGGCAGTGTAGTAGATTTTCTTCGACATACAACATCCTCCAGGGCCCCCATATGAGGGTAATGCCATCTGTTTAAAAAAAATCATACTACTGGGGCCAGGGATTTAGCTCAGTGGTGCTGCCACCTGCCTTGAAAGTGTAAGGTCCCAAGTTCGATCCCCGGTACCAAAAAAAAAAATCATACTATTTTTCTTTTCCTGAACTGTGCATCCATTTTTGGCAGAATATGTATATATTTTTTTCTCAATGACTTTAGACACTCTAAAGCCCTCAAGCAGAAATGGGAAACTAACCCAAATGGTAGGAGGAGGCAATGATTGCAAGCTCACATATCAACCTTGAACATGCCTCCAGGCTGATTCCTCTATTCAACACCTCCACGAGAGCCTCTTTCAGCCCTATAGCATGTATCTGGGGAGCAGAGGCAATAGTCATGATGCCACAGAGCCACTGGGCTGGTGAAACCTTGCATGCACTGTTAGTAGGAGGAGGTACTAGGGGAAGTGCCATGGACTCTGTTGTATGACAATGACCCAGGGAGGGCCAGACCCATGGACAGGGGAGTGGACAGCCAGAGGAGCAACCTTGGCTGTATTCACTCTGCCTTCCCTTACCACTTCCACACCCTGAGCCTCTGTCATCGCTGCTGGGGGTGGTGACAGACAGTGTTGGTATTCATGTATTCATACCTGATACCCAAATTTCACCTTTGGATCTAGTCACAGTGTCTCTCTCTCTCTCTCTCTCTCTCTCTCTCTCTCTCTCTC